TTCTTTTATTACCTGACTCGGAGTGATCGATATCTTCATACTATATAAAATACCACCGAGTGATAAATTCATACTATTATTATCCGGTAATATTACAGTAATATTACAAAAAATTTCAAAAAACACTTAAAAATATTTGACTGATTAATTCAATCCTTTTTGTTTTATCATGAAAAACTTTGAAATTTTTATGTATTTCAAATTAACGTGTAGGGAAGGATGGGGCAAGAATAGTTAGGTAAGACGTTTTCGAATCTAGCTACTGAACTAGAATCAGAGGTTTAACCAATTTTCTTCAGATGATCATCAATTTCTTGGTCAATAAGCTTCGTTTTCCATATATAATTACACACCATTATGTATACAACCTAAAAAAACAATTAAACATTTTTTATAATTTGCAGTCGCATTAGCAGGATTTCATCGAGCCGTAATAGCTCTGACTATACTTGCCCCATGAGCCCATATTTCAGTTTGTTCTAAATTTTAAAGAACGACATGAATTAATTTAAAAATAAATACGATATTTGTATTCAGCAAGAAATTCCACTCCGGAAAACATTTACGTGAATAAATATTCGAAAGCACTAATATAGAAAACAATATGATGAAACACTACGTTGACATTTTAGCAAAACAGACTTTTTACAAAAATAAACTCCTGACTGCGCAAATGGTAGCAGATTGACTTCCAATTTTTACTATCATGTATTGGTGTTATGACGCAAATATACCATGAATGACGCGATTTTTGAGCAAGCCGTCTAAGCATAACAGCAACTAACTGCCCTCCGCAATGGGAACTTCCCCTTAGATGATCCTTAACAATAATTTTTCATTTTTTAATTTAAAAAAATATATATTAATTTTTTTCTTGCTCAGTGTTACAATGGGGCTTTATATTTTTCAAACGTAACACTAAGCAAGAAAAAAATTAATAATTTTTTTTTAATTAAGAAACGAAGAATTATTATTAAAGCTCATTCAAAGGATAGTTTAAACTATAAATCCTGTAAATTGTATGCAAAAATATTTAGAACTTTTCATTTTAGAACGAATTAAAGTGAAAATTTTAATTAAAAATGATTTTAAGAAAAATTTAGTTTTTTGCTTTTTTCTCAAAAATGGTTACAAATACAAAAAAATTTGTGACAAGAAAAAAGATGCGCCAGAAAATTTCCTACAAGAAACTAATTTGAAAAATTTATTTTCAAAAATTAATTTTTAAGGTGTAAGGGGCCAACGAATACCGCTGTAGTTTTATTTGTCGTTATATAATCCGGCGGCTCAAATATAAAAATTTCATCACAAAGTTCATATAATGACGTACAAGCTAGTATAATATAAAATAAATAAACTTGTAAAAAAATGATTATCTTGTAGATTTGGTGAATTTTAATTATCGGGTCGGTACTGACGTAAGACATGCGAGTGTTCGGCAATCGTATCAGGCTGGTAGTAATAAACATTAAGCAATCAGCAACGTATTTGTCCGGTTTAAAAAAAATAAATTGGACAATTACTATTTTGTTGCTTATTTTTAAATTAGTTTTTACAGGATACTATTTCTTTCAAAGTATGTCTAAATTCATTTTAACATTTTTTAATTTTTTTAAATATATATTGTATCGGATATCATTTATTGGAAGCAGATCGAATAGATGCAGTTTTTAGGAAGTAATATTTATGATGCTATGTGATTCACAACGGAAGTCGGGTTGACGTTTGGGGGATGAGGCGTGTTATAGCGCACGGAAGGATACTCTTCTGTTAGGACCTTGATTTACTGAGCGATATTTCGTCGCTGCTAGTTGTCGCCTAATACTAACGAACGCGACAATAGTGACTGCTTGGAATTTCGTTTCAAATTATTGTTACGCCCAGACCAAATTTCCCTACATTGTCTCAGTTTTTAACAAGCTTTTTTTGTGTTATTGTTTTCGTGATTCCATTGTTGACTGCCTAATTTACATCACTATCTAGCTACATATCGAACCGAGTCCATGAACTGTTTTAACACACTGTGCATCAAGTAGTTTTAGACTGTTATAATACTTCATTATATTTAACAATTCAGGAAAAGATTATGAGTATTAGTGAACTAAGTTAACAATTGTTGCTATTTAACAGATGACTTTTTTTACAATTATTATTCAAATAAATATTCTAAAAGTAAAATTATTACGAAATGTATAAATGTCTTTACTAAATAGATAAATTATCAAAATATTTTACCCCCTTCAGATCGTATTCAAATTATAACACTTTTGCTATCAGCAACTCAGTTTTAATAAATTATTTTGTAATTCATAAATTACTGTTAAAGTATAAAGTGTAAAAGTGCTTATCTTTAAGTATATTTAGGATATACTATCGTCCTAATGATAACATTAATTAGGATATCCATAGGATGTCTTAAGAATATTCGTTGCTTACGAGTTCCTATTTTTTAAAATTGAAAATGGTGCTCCATCAAAAAAAATGTGCCGAAGATGGTGTCGTGCACACATGTTTTGACGCATCACAAGAATGTTTAAATGTGATTCCAAACATTCTGTAAGAAATGTAATAATTTTTTATTATTCTAAATTTTAAAAAAATTAAGCTAACTAAGCAAATAAAATAAATGGAAAAATATTTTAAAAAATAAATAAATTAGTTATTTAATTAATTTATTTTTCAATATTTTTTATTATATTTATTACTACTAAATTTAATTTTTTACTGATTTCTCCATTTGTTTATAAAAAATAATTGCAACAATAATTTTTTTTAGCATTTTTATGATTAATATAAGAAGTTGAGGGTTGTAAAAAGTACCATGAAATTTTTTTGGGTACATTAACAAATTAAAAACACAGTGGGACGTTAATAACCCACATTTACAGACGGAAGGTGCTGAAAAAACGTTTACAGACGAAGGGTTACAAAACTTATATCAGATGCGTAATCAGCGACCCCAAAAACCCCCGATCAACAAGTTTCAGGCAAATTTGAAGGGCCGCATTCCATAAGGGGTTATAGATGTCCAAGACGTCGCAGAGTTGGCCCCTAGAATAAATGCAATGTAAAGATCGCAAATTTCAACCAATTTAAATAAATTTTTTTTAAGTTAAAGGTAAAGTAATTGACAACATATTAATGATCTTAAATTTGGAAAAAAATTTCGTTTTTTAAATATTAAATTAACAAAATAAAAAATAATTTTCAAGAACTTATAGGGAGTCATATTTTACATAAACAGATAAAATTTCATTTTAATAGTTCATAAATCACTTAAGCAACAAATAAAATGAACTTTTTTTGTAATATTACAGTAAAAAAACATTAATTTATTTGTTATAAACAAATAAGTTAATACATTTTTAAAAGTCGATAAATCTGGTTGAAATTAATTACTTGGGGGTTTTCGAGGTCGCTGATTACTAATATGACATTAGTTTTTCAAAATTCAAAATGGCGGGTCTAAAATGGCAACCAAAATTTTATGAAATTAATCGGATTTGCTTTTAACTTGGTACTTGGGGGTTTTCAGGGTCGCTGATTACGAATATTATATTAGTTTTTTAAAATTCAAAATGTCGGGTCCAAAATCCTATCTCCGGCGATAGCAAGTGTTTCATTTAACCTAAATAGCATCAATGTTATATTTGTTTACATATTGCTGTGTGCGTCAGCTTTTATCATTTATTTAGTAACTAATGTTATCCAAAATCATAAAAGTCCTTTTTAATTACACTTTTAGTTTGAATCAGTCAAATTTGACTGATTCGCAGTCAAAATTGACTGATTCAATCAGTGTAGTCTCGCTCACTGGCGGACCAGTACAATTGACTGATTCAAACCAGTCAACTACTGTTACTGATTGAATCAGTCAAATATATTGAAGAAATTAGTCATTTTTATTGATAAAAATTGTAAATTTGATTATTTCAATCAATTATTTTGATTATTAAAATCATTAATTTTCCTTAAAATAACAATAGTTTGCATTATTTGTATAAGTGACTGTGACTGAGACGAGAAGTGATTTTTATTGATGTAATAGATTTTATTATTAAAATCAATTATTTTGAATAAACTTAATAGTAGTTTTTATTGATTAAAGTGGAAAAATTAGTCATTTTTAATGATAAAATTTGTAAATTTGATTATTTCAATCAATTGTTTTGATTATTAAAATCATTCATTTCCATTAAAATTACAATAATTTGTATTGTTTGAATTAGTATTTGTGACTGAAACAAGAGGTGATTTTTATTGATAAATTTAATAAAATCTATTATTAAATCTGTCATGTTTATTTAAACTTGTTAATAATTTTTATTGATGAAAGGTCTCTACTGATTGAATTAATAGTCTTTATTATTAAAATCATTTATTATTCAACATATTTTTATGTAAAAATAATATATTTAAATACATGTTTATATACTAGGATAATAAAAAATTAAAATTTATTAAATTTCTGTTATTATAAATATAATTAATGTTTACTACATTTTCTAAAATTAATTACGTTTATATATTGGATAATAATATATGGAAGCTGGTAACTGAATTTTTCGTTTTATTTGACGGAATCTTATATAAAAATGATTCCATAAAATTGTAAAAAAATTTTAAGGTAATTTGTTTTTGGTAGTAACTCTGGCAGAACTATAAGAGCTTTCATGTTTTCTGAAATACAAAAAAATAGCATTTTCTTTTTATTTAAAATTTAACTAGTGTGCTTTAGAATATAGTACTATGAAAAAATCTTACCATCATTAATATGAAACTCATCAATTTTTTTGATGACATCTTTCAGGTTTTCCTCCGCGTATTTCAGAATTCGCGGGGCGTAAAAAGATGGAAACTTTCCAAGAAATTGTCTGCATTCACTTCCGTAAATCTTTTGAAATTCCAAATCAATCTGTAAAAAAATCACTTTTAATCATGCCAAAAAGTTTAAACCTATATAAACTATAATTTCTAATGAAAAGCAATCTTGCCATTTCCCCATCAAAATCTAAAAGTCGTGGGTACTTTTGGAAATTTTCATTTGCGCTTGGATTTTCCTTCTGTATTCAGGAACGTCTATTTGCAAAAGTTTCTGCCAATGCTTGAATAATTTCACCTTCCTTATACATAGTAGGTGTCGTGTATGTCATCCAATTTATCTGAAATTTAAATTATAGAATGTATTAGAAACTCATAAGGTTTTTTTTACAATTTTAAAGTGTCCTCATGGGACGCATGAATATGTTCTGAAGTGAATTTGTTAAAATTTTGATTTGCCGGATATTCAATTTGATTGAATTTCAATTTGTCATAAATTCATTTTAATCGAATTTTAATTAGACGGGAATTTATTTTGATCGAATTTTAATTTGTCAGAAGTTGAATTTAATCAAAGATTACTTTGTGCGAATTGTTTTTTGAATAAATTTTCATGTACAACAAATATGTACCTTGCAGCTCAGTTCTTCTTCTGAAAGTAGTTTGCAGTTTGAAGTGCTGTCAACTGACGCTTCTTCCATAGATTCCTGATCTTCTGAATTTTTGGGTTTCTAAAAGTAGTCCTTTACAATCGTTGTTATGTAAATTCCTTAATCGAGGAAAATCTTTAACAATAGCTTTCGCTAATGCGGTTTTGGCATCGTTTGGTGGATAACTGTTGAAAAAAATTATTATAAATGAACATATGTAAGACTACATCCAATAAAATCTAGAGAAATATTAAATATTCACAGTTGTATAAATGAGAGAACTTACAATGAATTGTGTGTTTTTGTTAATTCTGCTACTAAGATTCTTTTAAATTAATTTTTTTGCTTCACATTCATATTGCCTTTCTCCGCGGCAGCAACGAGGGATACACCCTGAATGCTTGATATTAATATTTCCCTTGGACGTTGATTATTCTGTGAATACAAAGCAAAAGTGTTACGTATTTTTTATTATAATTAAAAATATATCATTAAAAATGTTAAGATTAGTATCTTTAACGCACCGAAAATTTTTCGTCTAATCATTGTGGACTCTTTTCAGGTACCAGTTTATTTTCTTGGATGCTTTTGTGCAATAAGGGTTCTACTATATTTAAATCTTCAGTTAAATCTCCACGCAAATTTTCATTTTCAATATCTTTTTTGTTGGTATTATTTAAGCTTTCATCCTTGTAAGAATTACTTGCATTGTCCGTTGCAATATGTTTTTCAGTTAGAGTTGCACTATCAGAATTATTTTGCCCTAAATCATTTTCCTGTAATCACAGATGTTTACAATTTTATTACATATATTTAATAAACTGTAATAAGTAAGTAGCAGGAAAATTTTCGTAGAATTCTTACGTCACATTTAGATTTTAAATCCTGTATAGTTTTAACTAACAAGAGAGCAGGACCCATTGTTAGTCCTATTGTTAAAAAATCAGCTTTTTCCATTTCCAAAATGCAGCTCCATTTATATCGTTGACTGGAAAAATTTGTCTTTATAATAATAATAGAAATAATATAAATATAATAAATAATATAAAATAATAATGGTAATATATAACGTAATAAATAAGTAAACTATATATACGGGAGAAAATTCTTGAAGTGAATAAAAGTAAAATATTTTGATTCTCGGAATAAAATTTTTACAAAACATAGTACCTTAATTCTGAAGTGAAACAATTTCATATTTGCTCTTGAAAGGTTTTCTCCTGCTTTTTTAATGGTGAAAAAATTTTCTTTGAAAACTCAAAAATTCGACCAATACAAAAATTTCCCCATGTATAAAATTATAAATTAATAAGTAAATACTGAAATTAATGTGCTCAAATTGATAGAATAACTATTTACCATGGTATACTAAATTATAAAATAATGTGCCGAAGGTTGAGATAAGAATCTCCGTTTCCAGGTTTTCTCCATACACATGTTGGTTTAAAATCCGCTAGATTTTGTGTTGAACTGAATCATTTTGCATAACAATTATTTCAATAATTCTTCCAAACTCCGGTACATTGCTTTCAGTTTCTGTTTAACTTCGAAGACAAACAAAGAAGCCTATTCTGCATTCAATACCATTCACGTGAACATTGTCTGTTTTGAAAACTGTGTCTTCCTCTTGTAGACCTAGATCAATTAAATCTTTCGCACTTCTTGTGTACTGAACGAGCACTGTACTACCTTCAAAATTTTGAACGCTGCTTAGTTTAAAATCCTTTTTCCCCAAGTACAACTTTGACTACATTGAGCAACTCTTATTAAAGTTTTTGAAGGATTTTTAAAGTTGCATACAACTGCCGCCTGTTTTTTCGAAGGAGTATGTTTTGCTTCATATCGCATGCTCCACATATGTATTGGTGGTCCCATTTCTAATATGTTGTCAGCTAAGTGAGCAGTGTTATGGTGCTTATTAATCATATTCGCTTCAGGAAACAATTGGAGGAAAGTTTGATGATGCTCATTTACTAATTCTTGGAGATAAGGAAGAATGTGTTTATCCAATTTTGGAGCAAAAATTATTTCCATTATTCGTAAAAGCAAGAGGATTAAATTCATGTGAGGGTCATTTTCTTTAACTTTATCAAATAATAAGAAAGGTAATTCTCTTATTAAACACCAAGTTTGCATTGCCCTTTGGCCTATCTTTTTATCTCCTAAATTTTGTAACATTGCAGATGTAAATTTTGCAGATGGTATGTTTTTCGCTTCGATTTTTCCATATTGAAAATGATGTATTCGCGAATTTAAGAACTCAATTGTAAAAGGTCTATTTTTCATCACACAAACGTAATAGTGAAGAACTAGTTTAATCTCATATGGACAAATTCCTTCCAAAAAGTCATGCATAATATCAAAAGTTACAGATTGTGTAAAATGAAAATATTTTGATTCGTGTAAAGGACAGTCGAATAAAATACCATAATCCTTTGACATTTCCTTCTTTTTTAAATTTTCTTCTAGATGTTTTTTATGGAGAGTTTTAGTTCATTTTTCAAAACAATGATATTTACCAGAAAGTAAATCGTTCTATTAATAAGACATGCTTTGCAAAAAACATGACAACCTGGACCAAGGAGACCGAAAACTTGAGTAGTTGATAATCCGTCACCAACAAATGCAAAAATCGAAGCTCTTAAAACAAAAATATTTTCTCCATCTTGTACAGTAACTCCGTCATCATTTTCCAGTTGTTTTAAATCTTCCAGAAAAGGGTCCAAAATTTTTTTTAAACCATATTTTATTCAATCCTGTTCAGCACAAAAAAATAGTACATGAATATTTCCTAGTGAAGAATTTACATGTTGGGGAAGATTTTGAATCCTATAATAAAAGGCTAATATTTTATGAACACCAGTCTTTGAACCTAAGGGGTTAACTATTTCAAATTCGTCAGCGTACAGTTCAATTCTTAAAGCATTTAAATATTTTGAAAAAAAGGGATGAGTTTTAAAATAGGTTCCATCAATAGATGAAGCTATAGTACCACCTCGCGATGATTTTTCTGAATTAATAGCTTCTCTTGCAACTGGATTCGACATTATTAGTTTTAAAACTTCAATTATTGGAACATATTGAAATGTTTCATGTACGTCATGTGGTTTAAATATACTTGTCTTTGCATCGAAAATATTTTCCGTCCTGTAACCTAAGAATTTTTCTAGTGGTTCAATATAATTTAAATTCTTTTTTAAAGCCGTAATTTGTTGCGAAATAGTTTCGCAAATTCTGAAAACTACTTTCATTGGTATCTAAACTGTTCAAAAGTTTTCGTGCTTCAAGATCATCAAGTAAATTTTTTTTCTTTAAAAATGATTCATGATTTTTTTTATAACTTTCCTTAGTTTTCGAAATAGCTGTTCCAAATTCATCAATTATATTAGTCAAAACTGTCCCTATAACAGAACTATTTGCCCTCAAATTACAAATCATTCTTATTACTAAATCTCGTAAACTAAAAGAATTTTTGTCGTGTTCTTGAATATTTTCTGGATAATCTTGGTGTTCATTTCCAAAATTATCATTAATTCCATTTTCTCCTATATTTAAGTTGCTGTGGTATGTTGTGTTGTCATGTAATATCACATTTGGAATTTGTCTATTTGAATGAAAGTAAGTAATGTGCTTACGCAAATTATAAAAATACTGAAAATTACGCCTGCATCCCTGCTAAGCACATATAAATCCTTTCTCTCCATGTCCACTAGTTACGGATAGTCCATGTATTGTTTGAAAATGATTTCTCAATTCATTCAAACCCCCTTTTATGCCGTTCTTACATTTAAAACAATTTAATCTCTCCATGTTATAACTTTTCTTTTATCTTTAGTAACTTATTATCACTGGAAAATATTCTAAGTCACATGGTCCTGAATATCACCAAATAACCAACCTATTAATCAAATTGTATAGAATATACTCTTTTTCAACTTAGTACTTTTAATAATAAATATTATATACATGGCCATTCTTACCTTTTAAAACTAATGCGGCGTCATTGTATATTGAATTTACTGTTTTCAAGAAATCAAACAGCTCATCCACAGTAAGAGCTTCAACAGTCTTTCTATTCATTTCTTCAATCTATCAAAGAAACAGTTACAAAAAATGTATTTATGGTTTAAATAATTGACATAAAATTGTTCAAAAATTTATATTTTTAATGAATGAAGAATTGAAAATAATGAATGAAATGATGAAAATAGTAAATAAATAATGAAAAATACAAAGTGTTAACTTTCAAAAAAAGGAAAACAATTTGCATAATTTCTTTTTTCTCAATAACAATTAGTTAATATTAATTCTTCTCATATCACTAAAAAACAAAAGCATAATCATGGCTAACTCCCAGTGTTAAAAGACTAGACAGAATGGACATCATTATTATATATAAATATGATTATGATGATTATTATTATATATATAAGGCAAAATTACTGAAATGTCCGAACAAAAAATTAAAAGTTCTCGAATTTAATCCATACTTTTCTAAAATGTTGTTATTGTTGGTGAAAGTCTAAAAATCAATTATTATTGAATTTATTAAAATAGTTTTTGAATTACAACGTTTTTAATTTTTGACTTTTGAAAAAAAAAATTTTTTTAATGTACAATATTTATAAGTAGAGTGCTTAAAAGTTAACATATATATAATGATTTTTAAAGCTTTTTTGACGGGCTACACGCTGTTAATAAAATTTTTTTTTTAAATAACATTTGACCTTGAAATTCAAGGTCAAAATGTTAATTTACGTTTATCTCAAAATCGGATTTTTTAAAATTATTTTTGACTATCTCATTGCAATTGTTTATTAACAATCTACTTATCCAAAATACTTCATACAGGGTTCGTTGGATGCGGAATTACGTTTAGTTTCAATTGCTAACTTCAGAATTACGGTAACTTTATTCGTTTGTAAAATATTTCATTTGTTATAATCATTAATTAATTAATTAATTAATATCTCAAAAACTTTAAAAGATCTTACTCTGAAAATTACATGTTTTGTAGGAAATTAGTCAAGCTTTCCATTGAGATAGTTAAAAATAATTTTAAAAAATCCGATTTTGAGATAAACGTAAATTAACATTTTGACCTTGAATTTCAAGATCAAATGTTATTTAAAAAAAAAATTTATTAACAGCGTGTAGCCCGTCAAAAAAGCTTTAAAAATCATTATATATATGTTAACTTTTATGCATTCTACTTATAAATATTGTACATTGAAAAAATTTTTTTTTTTTTTCTCTTTGTCCTTTTGCATTGAATTGTATGCAAATCGTAAACAAATAGCAATTATGCGTTTCAAATGATTTAAATTGCTATATTTGTCAAGAATGTTCGTGTCTTCGATAAAGATCTTTAACACTGCAGTCTGGCTAATGACCTTTTTCTCAGGTACGTCTGAGGTTACAAAAGATAGGGTAGGCCACGCGCTAGACTCTTGTCGGAGCCATGAAGGACCCTCGAACCATAAACCATTTTCCAAGAAACTTACTGGATTCTGACCCCTAGAAATAAAATCTGCCGGGTTATCTTTGGTGGGGACATGATTCCATTGTTTTGCGTCAGTGAAACTTTGTATCTCAGCCACTCGATTTGCTACAAACGTTTTTAAAATGTGTGGTGACGAATTGATCCAATTAAGT